GGGAAAAAGACAAGGGAGAGGCCTTGTCTGTTCTCCATTAGAATCCACTCAGTTCTTCTCCAAACAGAGAGGATGCTAGCCAAACAAGCTTATTCAAGGGGGGTTCTGTGTGGACCGTGTTAGCTCAGCAAATCCAGCTCCACAAACATGCTTCAAAGAATCCTGCTATCTCCGCAGAGCCTTTGATGCGGGTATTGATCATGCAGCGGTCTGTGAGAAAGAGAGGGATGCAGTACAGGTTTAGTATTCTGTCCTGGCTCGGATTGAATAGATAATAGCAAAAACATGCACTCCCATCACGCCGCGCTGTGCTTCAGTTATGACAGCTGCACAACCATTTTCGAGCTCTGAGATGGATGTGATTAAGGGTAAAAGACAAGGGGAGAGCAAATCAGATCATCTGCCCAGAGGACAGGTCACGGCGTATTATGTTTACCACAGTGGAAGAGGCCCAGCAGAAGCAGGGGGGAAAAAAACCCAATCACTTGACAGAGAGGAGCGCCTCACCTCCAGGTGACAGTGGAAACAGTCGGGGATTTGTCTGTGCACTTCTAAAAGCGTGAACACGTTCCCATATTGTGAGGTCACCTTATTGTCTGGAGATAAACAAGTACAACAGCAACATTTTTCTGCTAGGTTTGGGTGTTGCACCAGAGCGGCAAGGAAAGCAGAGCAAACACAAACAAAGCTAACATTTCCAGAATCACACAGTCACGCTGTATGCTATAGAAAGACAAACAAAGTCTGTTCTTCTTAGCATGGTAAAACAACCACCCACAGCCCTGCTCCTGTCTCACACTGAGACCATTAGTCACAATGATTTCTCTGCCAGCTGTCCTGGTGTTTGCTTAAGCTAGCCTCACAGGCAGTTTGGGCCTCTCACTTCACTTTATTAGGCGTGCACCGACTCATTAGCACCCAGCGATTCCGATGCAGATGTGTTCCTCAGGTAAGGTCCAAATGGAAAGCCGAGTAGCCATTAATCGTGTGGTTAAGCATACCATGAAAACATCATGCTTTGTGCAAACCCAGTCATCTAATGGTTTTTTTATTTGTTTCCTTTTTGCCTTTTACAACAACTCTCCCAATCACCTTGTCAACAGCAATCACTTCCTACACTCTAATCTTATATGTGGGCCAGGATGCTGTAATCTCAGCCTTTATACTCCTACCTGTCCTTATGTGATAAAAGTTGGTGCGCCATTAGAATGAATGAACTTCGCAACTTAGCCGGATCCAATGAATTAAATAATAGCTCCTTAATGTCTATGTGTAATTGCCTAGCATTTACAAAGTGCAATGTGCAAGGTACTGGATAAGAGCAGCAGTGCTGCAGACTATTTTAAGATAAACAGCTGATGTGTGTGTTCAAAGAGGCTTTTGTGTTTGCTTTCGCGTAGGAGTTTGTGTGGAGGGACCTGACTGAGCTTTATGCAGATATGAAAATCATGTGGTGCCATTTCACCCTCCTCCAAATGCCACCTATGATTGTTCACAGATAAGCTAGCTCCAGTGTGAGTAATTTGCATGAAAGCACAACAAAGGTATGAAATGCCGTTCTCCTCTTTTCTGTAGCGAACAAGGACTATAGATATCAGTTAAGTGGGTTAATGCTCATTTATTCTTTGTCCTTGCAGCACAGAAGCTAGTTGAATCAGTCTCAAGCGCATCCAAATACCATTTAGTCATCATACATCATCCTGCATTGTACCATTGTCAGTAACAACCATTTCTGGCATCTCCTCTCATTTCATCAGCAAACTGCTTGGAGCGCTGCTTAAATAATCAGCCAACTGCACGCAAAGCCCAGTTACGCCGCGGCGTTAACTAGATGAGATCAACCACTTGTAAAAAAGCTCCCCGACTTTTCTGTGAAGGACACGTTGTGGTCGCGTTGAAAGTGAGTCAACGGAAATCAGTCATGGCGTACTGTCACCACAGTAAGGACGCAGCCAGCTAAAAGTGCAGCCAAGCCACATATACTGGGCAAAGAGAGTACACTCAACTGACAGCTGCAAGCACTTAGTCGGCCGCCAAGAACAAAGACAGAGAGGAGGGGGGGGAAAAAACCCTCTATTCAGTCCAATTTCCTACAATGAGCCAACACAACAATAGCTTCCAATATTTTCAGTAAGAATTCAGTCATGTCTTGAATTGTGTTTGTCAGAGGTCAGCTCTCTCTGCGCTCATGTGTAACCACAACAACAAGCACGGCAACAAATAGATTCCTCATAACAACTTGAGCTCTTAATGATAACTTGGACATGAGGAAATATAATAGACAGTGGCAGGCATCTGTTCTAGTCATCTTTGGAAAACTCGTCAACTGCTTAAACTAAGGAATAGGATCAGGGAGGTGGCTCACAGTCTGAATGAAGCAGCTAGAAGGGCTAAAAAGCAGAGCTGGGAGAGGAGGCAGCAGATGGGATGAGGGGTTCTGAACCACTAACCACATGCACTTAAGGGTCAGAGCAATTCTCAGCCGGCGCGCCTCTAAACAGCTGAAAAACCAAACTTTACCTCCGGGAGTCTCTGTGAGCTTGTGACTCGTAAACCCATCTGTTTGTCACAGCCGCACCAGCAGAAAAGAGAGCGTGGGAGCTTTTACCTCTTATTAACACTGAACACGGTGCCTCGTGCCTCCACGGTGCATGTTAGTATGCATTAAGGCAGATGAGTGTGAGGCGAGAAAGCAGTGAAGAGGAGCGCCGTTAAAAAAGCCAGATGAGTCCCGAGTGCCGGGGCGATGGGCTGAATGACAATTGACTGGCTGTCAGCACTCATCTGCATTCGCGTATCTTTCTGGCCCGACTCATTTAGCTGGCAGACAGCCACGGCCTCGACATATGAAGATGTAGTGTGCAGACGCTGCTCGGAGCTTTGGTTTGCAAACTCTGCTCTCGTGCAGTATTTACGTGTGTTTCCCACTAATTGACTTTAATTGTCAGGGATTGTTATCCTTGCCACTAAGAGAAAGCAGAAAGCCGTGTAATGGGTTTTGGTTTAAAGGACAGCTGTGGCTCTGATTGAGTCACTTGCTCCGACATGCCCTTGAAATTAGTAACCGTTGGCACATCCAGCATTTGAGGCAATGCAAACAGCCTACTTCAGGTGCCCCGCACAGCAGGTTACGCTTTCATCACACCTATTTAAACTCATGCTCACTTTTCAGTGCCTGATTCAGCACAGCATGTTAACCACGTAAGCAGGTAGAGGTCATAGAAAGTACCTGCTACTCGAGTCAGATCGCACAAAATAAACTTGAAGGCACTGTAAGTGATATTTTTATATGAAAAGTTGGATAAAATAGCAGCCTGAGAAGTCATTCTCATAGTTTTGAACCACAAATATTAATACGCGATTTTGCGGTGCCCCTTAGCGCTGTGCAACTCTTTTGGTTTTCAGGGCAGTTGTGTCGTTTTGCTCTGTAACAGACGCTTTGTTGTTTACTGATTCCTGATCAGGTTTCCATGAAAAAGAAGAGGAAGACCCTACATACTTAATAAACACAACTAAAATATAAAAAATTTGGTTTATTTATTTAAAAAATGAATCATTAAGCAAATTTTGCCTGGTGCAATCTGAATGTATACCAATCAAGTGAATTTAATTTCCATTAATTAATGTATCCGTAATGTAACATTTTCCATTGTATTTATTTAAAAATGAATGTGGAAAATTGACATAGTCAAATGAGTTAAAGTCAGCATTTTAGGTAGATTTTTTTTTTAAGTGCAGGTTTTCATCAACAACACAGCTGTTTCATTTCTGAATAGGCTTTCACATGACCCAGGTGCACGGAAGCTACACTGTATTATGAGTATTATGTTGTTTTGCAGAGCTTGGCTATTGAAAAGCAGTGAAAATCTGGTTGGATTGAAAAATTTGTTACTGCTTCGCGATTTCCATCCCTTACTTTACGCGACCTGTTCTGTGTCAAACACCAACCCAACGCAGCTACGAGCCTGTGAATGTTGTCCGGCGTTCTAGCGGCTAAAGAGCCGAGACCAAAAACAGACCAGGAGGAGGAGTGGATTTTCGAGCTAATGTGCCAGATGGATGCAAACATGATCGCTCGCGTGTACTGAACACATTAGCATTGTGCTGAATGTGTAAACAGGCAACTGTTTGCCAACAAGTTCATCATACAAATGTAATAGCTGAAGCTATGTCACTGTTGGGTTGGCAGCTTGTTTTCTAAGTGCTGGTGACCAAAGGCAGGCTCCTAATCTATCAGTCAGTACAACAACATATAATAAAAGCAGAAATTATACACTGATGAGCCACAACATTATGATCAGTCTGTCTAACATGCTGTCGCTCACCAAAACAGCTCAGTGAGGCATCAATTCTAAGAAATCCTTTTGGAAACGTCACAGTAAGCCAGAACTTAATATCCAACAAATATCATATACTGTTAGAGCCTAATTAACACCATTTTCTTCCTCTGCGATCGGTCATAATGTTTTGGCTCAGTGATGCTCTTTCAATCATATAGGACTTGAGAGGAAATTATTGCATGACAGGTAATATAGTGGGCGATGCTATTTTGAATAACTGAAATATGAATGGCCCTCATCAGCATCCTAGATGGCTGTGAAAATTACTTCATCCTCCCTGTGCCAAAAGGCAGCTTAAGACCTCTTTATCAGAGTCATTCAAGCAAAGAGTCAATAAAACACTGCAATTAGGGCTGCTCTTTTAAAATCTGAGACAGTCTAATTGACTGTGTATTCAAGTAGAACCCCAGAATTCCCTTCAGCAAGTTTAATAACATTGATAAGCAGCATGATGCATAATCATAAGCTCATAGCTGTGGAATACAGAAAGATGTAGTCTTACAGTACAGCTGGATGAGGAGCTTTGTCTTTGACAGTCGGCCTGTGTTTATGGCAGGTCTCTGTGTGCAGTTTCATTTATTTCCCTCAAGTGTCTCTTTGAAAACTGGCAATGTTGATCAGGGGCTCAACAGGAGCTTCATAATAACATCTTTATAATGCTCACACCACTTGGTGGTGGAGGGCATGCGGTGAGGAGCCGGGGATAATAATGCAGTACAGCACATCAAACAGTGCCTGGTCAAAAAGCAAAGCACTCAGTATCTCATAGGAGTGAATTTAATGGCCACTGGTTGCTCTGGGCTCTTGACCCTCTCCAAGAGGCTCCATGTTAGTCACTCTCCAGCGCTTTCCAATTGAAACTCAGCCAGACTGGTAGTAGATGAGATTTCAACTGTCTACTCAAAGCCTGGATGACTATACCACTAGCTTCAGCTGGTCATCACACCGGCGGTGCTTGGCTCATAAGACAGTTACATCATATGTTGTCTGTCAGTCACAGCCAAAAGCAGCAAAAAGAACAAATTTCCTCAAATAGTGGAATTGAGAAAAGCTTTGAGGTACGTGTACTTCACTTGAGGTATGTTTCTCAAAGTTCTACTCTACCAGATTTACAGGTGTATTGTACTGGACAGATATTTTTCTGTTTCCCTTCAAGCTGTTTTCTCACATTAACCTTAGACAATCTTGGGAGCATCACATAGGATACAGTTGCTGTTAGACGCATGTGGCACAAAGCAGGAAATAGTCTGCTTCCAAAGCAATCACACTGCCTGGAATACTGATTTTGGGGAGGAGGCTGCCAAATGTACAGCTGTACAGATGTTGAAGTGGAAATTTGACTTCTATGGCCATATTGTAACAAGTTATTTCTTTGTGTGAAAAGAGTGTGAAGATGATAAACCTTATGATAAACAGTGTTCAAGGTCATGAGGCACTTTGTGTGTCTTGAAATAATTGTCAGAAAATCAGCATGTTTTCGATGCTCAATTAATTTTTCCACAATGGAAGCACATGATGTCGGTGCCCTATTTAATATAATGAGCATCTTATTAAGCACAGAAAAGCAGTCTCAGCAAACTAAAATCTAAGTGTATTTGTATGATAGAATGTTGCACTACTCCGGCCACCCAGTGCACTCGCTTAACATTAAATCTCATTTTATAATTGTGAGATATACATTTGTTTCAACATACCTGCCTGTCAGTGATTCTTTAATACAAACAAACAAAAACAAGGTCTAAAATTTGTTTACATAAAAAAAAAAAAAATATGATCCTCTTTGTGTGGTGTATTGTTCTCGTGCCTACAGAATAGTGCAGTACTAGAGGCCTGCTTGCAGTCATCCACCCAGTGACTGAGGATTTATAATTGTCTTGCGTTCCTGTGCTGCCATCTAGTGAAGAAAAGTGAGAAAGGAGTAAAATGAAGACAGAAACTCACTTTTTCCTTGAAGCTCAGTTAATTTCACCAAATCAGACAAACTGTGTACAGGAGATAAAAATCATTACAGGGCAGGTTTACAATAACTTGTGTGCAGAGTAACATATGTGCAAACATTTTTTTTTTAGCTGTAGAGCCACAGTAACTAAAGATGCATATATCTGAGTAAACAGATAAAGTTATATGCCAAAACAAGCTTTGGTGACCTATGTATATACTCTTCTGCATATTTATATAAAAACATGGAAAGCATTTAGCCTGAAGCCTTCACTTCACTCAAGCAGGAACGCTGTTGCTACTGTAATGATGGCCAAATGAAGCTTTCTGAAGCATTGAAACGCTTCATTACTCGAAGCCTTTCAACAGTCCTCTCTGGTGACACCTGGTGGCCAAAAATATGAAGAGCAGCTTGAATCGACAAAATAAAATGAACTGCTTCATTATGACCTCTATTATGACCGTGTGAAAAAATTTGTTATGTTTATTTGTTTAATAAATAATTTTCATCAATAAACTTTCCTTATTTAAACATGGACCGTGGTGTGGTCTATCTTTGCTTGTGACTTCTTGATGTTGGTAAATACAATGGATAAAATGGACATGAAAAAAGCATTTAAACTGCATTTCAATGCAAAACAGAGAAAAAAATAATAATATCCAAATCAAAATGGTATTGTCTTTAAATAATAATAATAAAAATTTCAACATAAAGTGCAGCTTTTCTTCTTAAAAATAAGGAAGAGACATAAAAGTTTATTTGACCAGCTTCACCTTTAAACTCTGAGTAACCTTAGCCAACATTATTTTGTACATTAGGCTAAAACACGGTGATCATCAAACATTTTATTGCAAAAAATAACAAACCCATTGGACTCACAATACCTCCATGCTTATTTACTGTCTGTCTCTTTCACCCAGTTACTTAGACAAACTAGCCTGTTCACATTTTTAGAGCTCAAGGCAGCTCTATTTTTGTTACTATGTGATCTGCAGGTGAGAACAGTCTCTTGCGTGGGACAGAAATGGCAGGACTAATGAAATACTTCCGGGCCAGGACAGACAGCTTTGGGTGGGTTGCTGCTTGAATGGAACACCACTGCAGTGTGGAAAGTCTGTCTTGCTGATGGATGATTCTGCTCTGTAGAAACTCAGGACCCTGTTACACAGGGCTTCCTCATCTGAATCACAGTCTGAAGACAATGAAGAGAGGAGGCGGCTCTTTGTGGTGGCATCTTCACACTGTTCTTGCAACAGGGCCTCAAGGCTGGTCCATGGTGTGATGCAGGTGGCAGAAAGCTAGCGCTAACAGCTCCCACAGTTTCTGTGCTTGTTGCAACATGTTACGCATTTAGATGATACCGTAAGGTTGAAGTGCTTTGGTGGTATGCAAACTCTTTTTTGCACAGTTTGCAAAAAACCGCGCTTTTATCAAAGCTTCCGTCGGGTAGTCTTTTTAAATGAAATTTGCCTCCGATCAGTTGTAGCAACATGCTATCTTCTGATTCTTCATTTTTGTAGCTGTGTACATCAGTAAAATCGCGCATTGACAAAAGTTCCCCTTTGCTTGGAATGCAAAGTGCGATTAAATGCGTTAATTTTTTAACACGTTATTTTTCAAATTAATTGATCGCTATTAACGCGTTAAATTCCCACCCATAATTATAATAATTGTTTACTGAATGTGCTTGATTCTCTAGTTGCTGTAAAAACCCAGTTTCCTTCGCGTGTTCTGCTCCATGGTTTACCATTGACCTCTAAGCATTGAAGGTCAGTCTAGGCCAGGGGTGGGCAATTCCAGGCCCTGAGGGCCGGTGTCCTGCAGGTTTTAGATCTCACCTTGGGTCAGCACACCTGAATCACATGATTAGTTCGTTACCGGGCCTTCAGGACATGTTGAGGAGTTGATTTAGCCATTTAAATCAGCTCTGTTGGTTCAAGGACACTTCTAAAACGTGCAGGGACACCGGCCCTCGAGGCCTGGAGTTGCCCACCCCTGGTCTAGGCCATCTTCTCTTCATAATATACATCCTCCCTCTAGGGAATCAAATTTGATCTTCAGTTTACCTGTTTTGCTGATGACATCTAGTTATATGTCTCCTGCAGGCCTGATTCCTCCTCCCTCCCACCTTCTTCCCTTAGAGGATGCCTATCCGAATTAAAATCCTGGTTCAGCTCTAGTTTTGTTAAACTCAATGAGGATAAAACTGAAATCCTCCTTATTGGCACAAAATCTAACCTTTTGAAGCCAAATCATTTCTCACTCACTATTGATAACTCCACAGTTTTCCCTTCAACTCAGGTTAAGAGCCTTGGTGTCATCCTAGACAGTTCACTACCCTAGAAATCTCACATCACTAATCTCACTTGTTCTGCCTATTTCCATCTATGCAACATTAACCGATTACGTCCTTCTTTCCACCCAGTCTACGCCCATTCTCGTTACTTCCCGCATTGACTATTGCAATTCTCTCTTGCATGGTCTCCCCCAAAAATTCCTCCATAAGCTTCAACTGGTTCAAAACTCCGGATTATTACAAGAACCCGCTCCTACCAGCTTACCTTTCTGACCTGTTAAGCACTACCTCTTCTATCCAGCTTGCTGTGCCTTCTTTCCACCTCAGCACTATGGGAAAAAGAGCTTTCAGTTGCTCTGCACCCAAGCTGTGGAACTCTCTACCCCCAGATGTAAGAAACACTTGTTCTCTCCCTCAGTTTATGTGTTTTATTCTATTGTTAAGTGTGCTTGGGTGTCTTGAAAGGCTCTTTCAAATACATTTTTTTTAATTAATATTATATTTATTATTGCACAACAGCCAGGTGAGGATAAAGGGGAGTGGTCCCTGTTGATCTGT